AAAGTCCATTTATACACCAGGGATAAATACTGATCTACTACCCAAGGCCCCAGAGATTGCTGAGGCCTCCTAATTGACACCCACATTCAGGAAGTCTGAATCAGTCCAATTCTTGCCTCTCAGTCACCATTCTGGGGTTTATGAGCTCACTCTTGTTCAGCTCAATTGCCTCTGCGGGTTTCACTAGCATGGTGCTGACCCCTTTGCTCATCACTCCTCCCTCTCTGCCACTGGGTTCCAGGAGTTCAGTTCAGTGTTTAGCAGTGGGTGTCTGCCTCTGCTTCCATGAATGTTCCATGAACACTCTAGGATAGCACATAAGGTAGTCATCAATCTCATTATCGGGGAAGGGCATTTAAGATTGCCTCTCCAGTATTGCTTGGATTGCCAGTTCATGTCTTCCTTGTAGGTCTCTGAAAATCTCATTAGTGCCAGATCTCTTCTCAAATCTATAATGACTCCCTCTATTATGCTATCTTTCATCCTGCTCTCCTATATTCTTCCCCTGAGTCAACTTTCCTGTTTCCCCATGTCCTCCTCTCCCCTCTTCTTCTCCTTCTCTCTTTCTTCCAGCTCCCTATTCCCTCCCCTCCACCAATGCTCCCAATCCCCCAAGGAGATCCCATCCTATTGCCTTTCTCGAGGGTACCATGCACATCTCTCCTCCATGTTTCCCAGAATCTTTGGCAGTGGGATTGTAGGCTCCAATAGTCTGTTCCATGAATAAAATTCATATATGAATGAGTACATACCATGTTTGTCTTTTTGTGACTAGGTTACCTCACACAGGATGATGTTTTCTAGTGTCATCCATTTGTCTGTGAATTTCAAGAGTCCATTGTTTTTTCCACTGAGTAGTAATCCATTCTGTAAATATACCATATTTTCTCTATCCACTCTTCAGTTGAGGGGCATCTAGGTTGCTTCCAGGTTGTGTCTATTACAAATAACTCTGCTGTAAACATAGTATCTCAGAATTCTTTTGATTTGCATTTCCCTGATGACTAAGGATGTTGATCACTTTCTTAAGTGTATATCAGTCATTTTAGATTCCTCTATTGAGAATTTAATTCTGTACCCCACATTTTAATTGAATAATTTGGTGTTTGGAGACTAGCTTCTTGTGTTCTTTGTAAATTTTGGAGATAAGAACTCTGTCGAATGTGTGGTTGGTGAATATATTTCCCATTCTGTGGGCTGCATTTTTGTCTTGTTGATTGTGTCCTTTGCCTTACAAAAGGTTCTCAGTTTCAGGAGGTCCCATTTATTAATTGTCGATCTTAGTGTTTGTGCTACTGGAGTTATGTTCAGGAAGTGCTCTCCTGTACCAATTTGTTCAAGGGTATTTCGTACTTTCTCTACTAAGAGGGTCCATGTGGCTGGATTTATGTTGAGGTCTTTGATCCATTAGGACTTAGGTTTTGTGCATGGCGATAAACATGGATCGATCTGCATTCTTTTACATGCCAGCCTCCAGTTATGCCAGCACCATTTGTTGAAGATGCTTTCTTTTTTCCATTGTATATTTTTAGCTTCTTTGTCAAAGATCAGATATTCATACGTGTGTGGGTTAATATCAGGGTTTTCAATTCGATTCCATTGGTCTACCTGTCTATATATGTGCCAATACCAAGCAGTTTTCAGGACTATAGCTCTATAATAGAGCTTGAAGTCAGGGATGGTGATGCCTCCAGACGTTGCCTTGTTGAACAGGGTTGTTTTGGCTACCCTGGGTCTTTTGTTTTTCCATACAAAACTGATTATTGTTCTTTCAATGTCTGTGAAGAATTGTCCTGGGATGTTAATGGGGATTGCATTGAATCTGTAGATTGCTTTTGGCAGGATTGCCATTTTTACTACATTGATCCTACCTATCCAAGAGCATGGGAGATCTTTCCATTTTCTGAGGGCTTCTTTAATTTCTTTCTTTAAAGATTCAAAGTTCTTGCAATACAGGTCTTTCACTTGTTTGGTTAGTGTTACCCCAAGGTATTTTATGTTGATTGTGGCAATTGTAAAGGATGATGTTTCTCTGATTTCTTTCTCAGCCCTTTTATCATCTGTATATGGTAGGGCTACTGATTTTCTTGAGTTGATCTTGTAGCCTGCCACATTGCTGAAGGTATTAATCAGCTGTAAAAGTTCCCTGGTAGAGTTCTTAGGGTCATTCATGTAAACTATCATATCATCTGCAAATAGTGAAAGTTTGACCTCTTCCTTCCCAATTTGGATCCCCTTGATCCTCTTTTGTTGTCATATGGCTCTAGCTAGAACTTCAAGTACAATGTTGAAAAGGTATGGAGAGATTGGACAGCCTTGTCTTGTTCCTGATTTCAGAGGAATTGCGTTGAGTTTCTGTCCATTTAGTTTGATGTTGGCTGTTGGTTTACTGTATATAGCTTTTATTATGTTTAAGTATGTTCCTTTTATCCCAGATCTCTCCAAGACCTTTATCATGAAGGGGTGTTGGATTTTGTTAAAGGCTTTTTTGGCATCTAGTGAGATGATCGTGTAATTTTTCAGCTTGTTTATATGGTGGATTACATAGATGGATTTTCATATGTTGAACCATCCCTGCATCCCTGGGATGACCCCTACTTGATCCTGGTGAATGATTGTTTGATGTGTTCTTGGATCCAATTTGCCAGTATTTTATTGAGTATTTTTGCATCAATGTTCATGAGGGATATTGGTCTGAAGTTCTCTTTCCTAGTTGTGTCTTTGTGTGGCTTGGGGATCAAAGTTATTGAAGCCTCATAGAAAGAGTTTGGCAAAGACCCTTCTGCTTCTATTGCATGGAATACTTTGATAAGAATTGGTATAAGCTGTTCTTTGAATTTCTGGTATAATTCTGCACTGAGACCATCTGGACCCGGGCTCTTTTGTGCTGGGAGACTTTTGATGACTGCTTCTATTTCTATAGGGATTATGGGTCCAAAATTTACAAAGAACTTAAGCAAGTGTTCTGGATTTCCCCAGTGGTTGTTGTTAAGGCCCCTTTTCATTTCTGATTTTGTTAATTTGCATAGTCTCTCTCTGCCTTTTCATTAGGTTGGATAAAGGTTTGTGTATCATGTTGATTTTCTCAAAGAACCAACTGTTTGTTTCATTGATTCTTTGTATTGTTTTCTTTGTTTCTACTTTATTGATTTCAGCTCTCAATTTGATTATTTCCTGGTGTTTACTCCTCCTGGGTGAGTTTGCATGTTTTTGTTTTAGAGCTTTCAGGTGTTCTGTTAATTCTCTAGTGTGGCTATTCTCCAGTTTTTTCATGTGGGAACTTAGTGCTATGAACTTTCCTCTTAGAACTGCTTTCAGAGTATCCCAAAGTTTTGGGTTGTTGTGCCTTCATTTTCATTAAATTCTAGGAAGTCTTTGATTTCTTTATTTATTTCTTTCTTTATCCTGGAATTCATAGAGCACTATGCCTCATATTAAAACAGACTACTTAATATTTTGTCTCCACATATTTTCCTGAAAACAAGCTGTTTTCCATGTGCATTGCTGACATTTTAAAAATTATTTGAGGATTTTTTTCATTTATGTAATTTGATTTGTATACTCATGGTGATATTTTTATTACTTTTATAATCTATATTATGAAATATAACCAGTGTTTTAGTCCATTGTTTGTTGCTGTTAACTGACTAATTGGGACTACAAATCTTTTGAAGAAGCTCCAATCATGTAAACTACTATACATTTATTACTTTGTATGTCAAGCTCTTCAAATTTTCATATTTATATATATATATATACCAATACTTATTTTCATTAACATGCCATAAAAATTACAAAGCTTGTTTACTGTATTTGTCTAAGAGTTTGGTCAGATATCCATTGAAGTGCTTATCTAACTTGCTGAGTAAATTCTCACTTATGCAAAAATGACAGCTACTTTTCTGATGTCTTTTGCTTTAGAATAATTTGAAATATTTTATGTTTGGAATATATTTTGAGTCATAGTATGCCTTTCTTTGAATGTAATGTGAGGACTTCACCAGGGAGAGAAAGTATCTGGGAAGGGAATTACATTGAAGGTGCCAATGGCAAGACTGCCTAGGAAGTGGGTGATATGGAAAACTTCCGTTACAGGATGAGTTAGAAGCAAAGAAGAGTACAGAAAAATTGTGAGGAAGTCAAATATCAAAGAACAAAATGACCTGCTACCAAATGAGGAGTTTACCTACAAATGGACAAATCCGTGAAGGACCTTAGTAAGTGTGGGAGTTTGAGGGGCAGGGGAATGGGGATTGCTGTTTAGATACACTGTAGCTGAATTTTTCCTCTGACATATTTTGTTATTTATTTATTTCTATTATTCGTGATAATGTCAAACCTGGATTTTGAAACTTTGAGGAGTTGGTCAGTGCAGGTAAAAATTCTTTGAAGTTATGTCAACTTAATGAAGCCAATGGCAGCAAAACAGAATTTAGTTGTCATATTTAAGAGAATTCAATGTAAGGAAAAATAATCAGATTTGCAATTTATATCAACACCATTGCATAAAGAATGGCAGAAGGGAGATGTGCTGTAGTGGTGTTTACATTATTAGATGATGGAGGGAAATCAGAAGATAGAATCGGGTGGTTGGAAGATAGCCACAATGGATAAGTATTGAGATTGTAGCTATTTTTGACTCTGCAGGACTAAATTAGAAGACTTAGTTGAGGATGTAGAGAACCAGAGAATGCAGGAAACAAATAACAAAGACTTTAAAGTTAGGATTAGGACAGAATGAGGTTGTCCTGATCTCCATGCACAGAAATCCAGTTATGAATCCATCTAATTGCAGCATTGTACCCATTAAAACAATGATTAAAGAATTTCTGTGTGTACATTACTTGTTGATGCTTAGTTTGATATCTATAATGAATGTGTAGTCTGATAAGTATATTTTTAATTCAATATCAGCATATCTAGATTTGCATGTGAGTGAAAATAAAGTCTGGGGAGATAAATTGAATGTAGTCATTGTAAATAACCAAAACTAACTAATGTATTTTTAAATTGAATTTTTTATTTTAAATATTCACATTACAGGAATCCATTAGGCCCAAATAGAACATCATTATTTACACATCTAATAACTCCAGTGTCAAATCAGTGAGGTATTTACATTGAATAGAGTAAATGTGACATAAGGAAGAGACTCCTTACATACAGGTTCAAATTCTTCACACATTTGCTTCTGCATTAGAATCTTTATGCAGATTGTAAAAACAATTCATTGCTAAACAAAATTTCACAAAAGTGTAGCAGTTGCATCAAATAGATGCAAGCCTCATAAGACATCAATGAACAGCAACATACATTGTAATGGCATATTTTTAAGGGAAGGAAATTTCAAGTGGCAACGCAACTCCAGATTAATTTATGAACAGTAAAATTTCTCCAAATAGATGAAAGTACAGATTTCTTATGACATCTTGCCTTTCATGGCTTATTAAAATATTTGCTTAGCTGCCACAAGGTTTGTTGTTTACAGGTAAATTCAATGAAGGGATGCATGCAGTATCAAATTACAAGACCAGACCAGATGTTTGCTGAGTGTTACACACCTACAGTATCATGAATTGTATTGTCATCCTTTCACACACCTGTAATGCTGTGAACGAATGGTTCTTCCATCCTTTCTGTGGCAGGCCAGGCTGGTCACACTTGTGATAACATTACTGCTGTAGTCATCCTCTCTGACTGGACTAGCAGCCTGTTCATTATTTCAATCAATGCTTTACTTTTGTATTATAGCAGGATTCAGCTTCAGAATTTTGACTTAGAATAGTAAGTCAATAGAGTCAATTTTCTTAGCATTATATTAATTTCACTTTTTCTGTTAAAATTAGACTCCAAAGAAGCAATATTTTGTAAATAAATAAATAAGCAAATAAATAGATAACTAGGGTTTCCATTGCTTTGATAACATAACAGTGAAATCATCTTACAGTCTTGTGAATGTTTTTACTGGTGATTTGAATTCCTGAATGCTATTTTCTACCCTTATGTGTTAAGATATGGATAGGGAGAGGTTGGTCTACACATATCACCTGCTTGAAATTAGGTCTTTCAAAAACACAATTATATTTCTGAAACAAATCAGAACAAACAAACAAAATGCCTAGACACATCCTTCCCAGAATGGCATGAGTTTTATTTTCAGAGATTTCTGTGAATTATCAGCATGTAAAGTCATGTCTCTGTTGGCAAAATTCATACTCCTTCTACATTTTGCAAATTAACAAGAAAGAAAAGATTCAGTCTACTATTTCTCTATCTCTGCTGTACCAATCAGCTGTGATCTGGATAGTCTGTTATTGCTGAAGTTATTGTAATGGAGGTGCAACTTAGTGTTTCTCCCTTTTGGCAGTAGTACTGATTTGGCAGTGTTTCAAAAAATGATAAGCTGTTTTTTGATTATACAAAAAGCTGCCAGAATATTGTATTCATATAATGGAACTTGGAAAATGACTCTGTCACTTCTTCTTACTCTGAAACATTAACTTGCTCTGTAGTCAGCTGTAAGATTTACCAGCAAATTATTTTGTTGTTAATTGTCAGCAACTTCAAGAAAATGTTTTCTGGGAAAATGTATAACACTATGATGCAACGTTGGAAGAAAACCTAAAGCAGAACAGTATTGCACCTTGTCTCAGGGGCTCATCAGCACTGAGAGTCACATATCATTTTGTAAATATTGAAAAGGGACTTGTGAATCATGCACACAGATTAAGAAAAAGCTTGCATGTAAGGTGGCCATGGAAAAGTACACCCCAAAGCTGCAAGATTCATCACAGCATGCATATTTTTCACTTACAAATACGATCTTAATATTATCATATACTATATAACATCTTATTTCAAGCATGCGTTGGCTACTAAAATAAGATTATAAAGAAAAGCTGATGTTTGATATAAAATAATCATGTTTTTTTCAAGTGTGGAAAAATACTCTACAAAAAAATAAGTAGAAAAGTGATTTCTGATCAATGTATGATTTTATCTATAAAACCCTAGATGACTAATTAGTGTGCTTACAACAACCCTGTTGGATCTGAATATAATAACACACCCAGGGAAAGTTAAGAGCATTAAACAACTGGCACAATGCAATGTCATTCTTATAAGAAATAACATGAACCTATGAACTCTACATTTGGCATTAGAGAGCATTTTAAATTTGCTTGAACATGACAATATCATAGTGCAAATTACATTACAATAGTAGAACATACAGTTGATTTAGAAGTAGTTTATGGATTACTGATCCTTACAATTTACATACTGGAAGAATTGGCACATTTTGTTTTACTGTATTTTCTCTGACCTCCATTCCTTGAGGATTAGTTCCTTTATGAAAATAACTTGAATTACTCAAGACAAGCGTTGGCTAGGGTCTACATGGCTACCTTGGACAGAGTCAAGGTGGTAGGCACATTCAATGTTCTTCCTTTGTGGATCTTCACTACAACTTTCTTCTGTAGCAACTTCTTATTCCAAGCTTTAAATGAAATGGTCTGAGTCTTTTTCACTAGTTACAGAACATAGTCACCTGGAAGAAGGCATGGAGAGAAAGTCTAGAATATATGGTAGCCCATATTTCTGATCAGGATTTCTGATCAATGTCCATATTTATCAAGAGTTTCTTAGGTGAATATAACAGCAGTCTATCACCTTTGGATAATAGATGAGAAATCTGTGGCTCAGAAATGCTAACAAATTACACTACAGGTACTAAAAGCTAAAATGGACTTTGATCAAGAGTTTACTTCACATTTTCTTGTTCCTTCTTGATGCTTTCTTCTTTCTGCACACTTAAACCTGGGTCTAAATTTAAACTTGTTACATCTTTATCTTGTGTTCAAAAAAAGCACTCCTTCATCCCATGCTGGTATAGATACAGAATAAACCACATTACTACTGAGAAGATAATAGAGTTTAAAAAATATGGATATTTATGAAAGAGAGTGTTGCCTTTTACCATTATTCTCCACACATGCTTTGATTGTTAGGGACTCTACAAAACAATATATATATATATATATATATATATATATTTGTATTGTCACACTCTATTATCCATGACATGTGATTTTAAGGGACAGAAAAAGAAGACAAACATTGTTTTTTAAACCAATGCATTAGAATCCGTGATAAATCACATGTTTTCTTATAAAGTAGATGGCTTCCAGTTTTATGTAGACAATCTGGCTGTCTGGACTCTAATCTCATTATAGTCCATGGAAATTCAAAATATACTAACCCACATGAGCACTCCTTTGGTGATCTCACATTGACAATAATGTCATCTCCAGGATTGTCGCAACTATGAGCTCAAGGGATTTATGAAGTCAGTTTGAGAAAGGGGGATGAACTTTAACTTTCATATATTGTTTACATAGTAAGTATTCCCAGGTACTTGATATTAATTGAATCTTTGTGAACCATTTTTGCCACACCTGAATATTTATCTTCTACACCTTCATTAATCTAAATGGAATTCATGTGTAGAAAAGTTGACAACATGCTTCTCCAATTTTAGATTATATAGAAATCATCTGTAACACTTTTTTCTCACTTTTTATGCTTTTCACAATTAAAACTATAGTAGTAGTCTCTTAATGTCCATGACATAGTCAACTAATTCAAAATTATTAAGTTGCCTGAGGTTTCAGCAAACCAACTCAAATTTTGAGGTTATCTAATAAGATATAGCATTTCTAATATCTTTTAAAGAAACAGTTAAAAATAGATAACATGCTATTTCAAATATCTTTCCTTTTTACATGTGAAAAATTTCCTCAAGAGTATCTCTTTGGGTCATTCAGTTTAAAAACTATATATATGCATGGTTGAGATTGTTTATGTCAAAACCCTATTTATCATGCAATTTGGAGAATCTTAATCACAGCCTGGCTAAATCATTGCACGTCTATATCACTGAACAAATTAATTTTTGTTTAATGAGTTTACATCTCAACATTTTGACTTTCTCACTTTCTGCAATCTTTAGGAAAGGTAAAGGGAGGCTGGGTTCTCTTGCAAATTAAATTACCCTTAACTAGTTCTGTGCCTGAGCCTGCAACAGTTGATGTGGAGTATTCAGTCAGGTTGTTGGATGTTTCTAAGAGTGACTTCCTCTTCAGAAACTGATCTCTAAGAATATTTCTGCGATTCTATTCTTGAATTTTAGCTGTCTGAACTGCTAGAAAGCTAAATTAATACTAACTTATTTGTTTCTCATAACAGTGTGGAAAAAGTAGGCATGCTTATTATAGGAGATGGTATACTTGCTTAGTGAGACAAGTGATGTCTCTCCATCGCTGCTATCACCCACCACCCCTCCCAATACTCTCCAAAATTTCAGAGATGTCATTGCATGCTTCCACACTATGTTTGTTTATGTCCCTTCTATTGAGTATTTGCCCTTTGACTTGTTTAAATTTTCAGTAATTTTTATGAGCTGCCATCTTAGCATCAACAGGTGATACAGCTGAATTTTTGGTATGTTCCATATTTCTCTTATTCTCTTTTACAACCAAGGGTTTATGTTAGTGGTAGAACACTCACACATGTACACATACCTATTTGGATATATCATTGTCTATTATTTTAGAGATGCATTCATTTTCAAAATAGGCTACCCCTTTTATATACATATACAAAACCTGATACTAACACAGATGAAGAGTTCAAGCACAGCTAGTGAATAGCGTAGCTCATACTTAATTGTAAATACATGATTGTGGAAATCTACAGCGCTATAACTTGTTGCCATGTCCTAACTATCACACAGATTGCTGAAACCCAGAAAAGCAATTGGTCAAAAATGTATGATGCTTTGATGGCTACAAAAGATCCTAATAACTGTCTACCTTTGTTTTTGTGCTGAAAAATTTTTTAAAGTGCATTTAAAAACTAAGGGAGAGAATGAAAGAAAAATTTCCCAGACAAACAGATGGAAATGGTAAATAGTTTGTCCTAAATCATAGGAATAGCTGAAGAAAAGCATAACTGTTCAAAAACAAGTAGGCATGAGGAACATCTTGAGTTATGAAATACGGTAATACTTATCAATATATTTAAGAAGAATTCAAGTGAGCCAAAATAGGGCAGTATCTCATGCCTGTGTTATTTGAATATAGAATTATTTCTAGTTAATAAGCAGGACACAGACTACCAAAGTAGCAACGTTTCAGAATTGTCTAGGGAACCCCTAAAATACAGACCAAGGGCATCAATGGTATATATTATAACAATATTAAAATGATGTAAATAATTCTTATACCATTGATCTAGGGAGTCCCCAAGGCAAATGTGGGTCTGAGAAACTCTGTCAAGCACAGGATAACTTGTACTAATAGCATGGCTTCTTCCTTCCTTTTTTTCTTTTTCATTCATAATTGAAGAGGTTCCAATTGCATGGAACAAGAACCACTTGTCAGTATTATTAGTTATTAGTAAACATCTATTGGAAACTCTAGATCACATGGCTTTGGGCAATGTTTTAAAAGATTAGTGATAGGGAATTTCATTTTAAATTAAAATACATTCGAATGATGTTCAATGAATGGAAATTAGTTAGTCAAATGTTAAAAGAATGAAATTTCTAAATATACACTATCTTATGCCCTCAAACCATATATTACTGTTGGTAAAGAACTGCCTGACTTGATTCCACTGGCTTCCTAAGTTTTCCATCAATAAATAGTTTTATTGTTGTAGGAATTTCAATATTGCAGAAATATCTATCTGAATACTCTAGAATAGGTTACAATATATGGTTAATTTTTACAGGCAATCAAGTTCTCAGAGAGCTCTGTATTACAAAAGACATAAGAGAAGAATATGAAGGGAATAATTGAGCACTTGCTACATTGTAAGTTTCAGGAAAGAAACAAGATTATGTTTTTCTGTCATTAAAGCAATCAGTTTAATACTTTAATTTTTTATATATTGTAGAGAAATGAGAAGCAATTCTGTTTGCAGTATTAACTTCCAAAAATATTTTTAGATGGCCAAGGAAATTTGAAATTTAAATTTAAGGACATATCAATTTAGGCCTTATATTAAACAGCAAGGTGTCAAAGGAATCCTTATGAATGTAGTCTTCCAGAGAGGTTAAGTGACTTTCTCTAGGCTACAATTTGTTGCAGTGATAGCCTAGGGTAGAATTACTTATATTTCTAGTTTAACAGTGTGTCCCATTTAGATTCTATTAACTGCTTGTGAATATGGATGGGTTGAATATGCATTACAAAGAGGGACCATACTTTGGATAGTAGTGGAGCTTACCTATTTTCAAAGTGCCATACAATCTCTAAAGGGGAGATATCCACAATAGAAAAATCACCTGGCTCACTGATATTTGCAGTACCTTCACAATACAACAAATTTAATTAACAAGGAACGAAAGGTAAAACTGTTTTCCCTTCTCACATTTGGCAATACACATTTACTTATTATAGAACTTCATTCTGCATCCTCTTTACATAATATTTTCATTTCTATTAGAAACAATCAGTGAATGATCAATATTAAAATAGAACACCAACAAGTTTCAAGTTTAATCTTTCTTAATATTTTAGTTTCTTGGCTCTTTTTAAAATGTTATATATTTATATTTTATGTATGAGTACTCTGTATGTGTACCTGCATGCCAGAGAGAGCATCAGATCGTATTATAGATAATGGTGAACTACGTTGGCACTGGGAATTAAACTCAGGACCTTTGAAAGAGCAGAAAATGGTCTAAATCACTGAGCCATCTCTCCAGCCCCTCCTGGATTCTTAAAGCATGGTAAGAAGAATTTATCCTGACTGCCCTTTGTACCTAGGAAGCAATGTTAATAGTAAAGCTAATATTTCCATTTGACCCAAAGAAGATGATATTTTGATTACATTAAAATTATTTGCATGTCCACAAATTTCATTGATGTAACCATTTACTATCATTTATTAGCAACCCTCATTTATCAGGAACTACTTATCTTTTATCTTTTAATGTCTTTTATATTCAGTAGTTTGCCTACACATTTTAAGATCCCCTTCTCTTGAGGTTAGGGTTCAGGAGAGTCAACAAACATGATCAAGTATGAAGTAAAAACATGTGGAGCTTAACTTTATGAAAGATTAATGCACACCAAACACTTTCTGGGTAAATGGCCACCATTTGATTTAGTCTGAACGTAGACAAGTATACAAAAACTCAGTTATTTATATCCTGTTATATTATATTTTGTTCCTCCATTTTTATCTCTAATTAGAAGAAAGAATTTAAAGGCTCAGAAAATGATAGCCAAATAATCTGTCATTTTACATCTCAATGGTTTTGGACTAGGCTCCATACATTCTAGGGCTATGCTTTTTACAATAAATATGAACCTTGTAAGCTGTTGCTATTCTCCCACTAAGATTTTTTATATGTTTACTTTATATCAAGTCATGACCATTCTAAAAATATGGCTGTCATAGCCTTCCTTCTTTAAATATGTATATGGATAGATATGGATAATAAAGTACATGTTCTCATCAGTAAGGCTTAAAATAATTATTGACATATGCTTACTAATAAGGCCTGCAATAATTGACAATTAATATTCAGAGCACTGGTGATAATGACTTTCTGCACTTTGAAGGAAAGTTTATCCATGACCTTTTTAGAGCCATTGTTCATTCCCAGGCATATTATCTGTCTTTATTATAATCAACAGCAAGCCAAATTGGCTGCATCAATTTATCTTCCACATGAGTTATCCTTAAAGAAATTGTGAGTCATAGTACTTATTAAAAGAGTAGTCACTGGCATAACTTTTCAGTGGTTATGTCTCAGTTACACATAGCAAAGCTCATTCGTTCTGCTAAAGTTCAACTGCTAAATCGGAAAGACTGCCAACATTAAAATTTTTGTTTACTACATATGTAAAAGTTGAAGTCCCAGAACCTATCATCCTACATGCTAATGTGATATTCACATTCTAGGAATTGGGTCATATTTGTCCAGTACGATGTAGAGGAAGCAGAGACAAACATGAGATTAATAGCAATAGGACCATTAATTTCTAATCTCTACTATCGCTATGTGTGGGGTTCACATGCCTGTCTTTCAGCATGTGTCAAGGATAAATAATGGCTTTATATCTAATTAACTCACAGATTGGAAGAAGTGTTTAACTTCCAAATATGGCTGTGATTTCTTCTAGTTAAAAAGCTGGCTCATTCACTGTTCACTTGAAATTTGGACCCCCATTTTTATGGCTTGGAATTAGGCTCTCAATGGACAGATACACTAGCAGAATACTTGTTGCTGTGGTTTGGCTTATATTACTGGCATTTATTTTTTGTTTCAGTCCAAGAATGAGGTCACACTCTTTGTCAACAGAAGAGACAAATACCTTAGCATCCAGTTTAGTAATGGTGGATGGAAACAATGACAAATACTTTTCAGGCTCTAGAAAAAATACTTCCTAAGCTTGGCTTTGCATCTTTAGGTACCTACATTTTGTGGATCAAAAACATAACGAACAAATGTAAAAGTATGGGATTGACTGTTAAACAAATAAATGCATTACAGAGCTTTTAAAGAAAGTTATCTATGTATGTGCACCATATATATGTATGGACAGAACAAATAAAATCTATGTTGGGTCAAATGAAGAGAAAGAGCTTGAAGTTCCAGCACAGGTTGAGTAGCTAAGCAATTGAATACATTTTCTAGAGGGTTTTTTTCAATTAAATTAGCAATGATTCATACAATCTCCATTGCGAGTCATACAAGATGGAACTTACAGGAATCTCTATGTAACAAGCCCTTTAAAGGCAGTAACAGCATCTTTTCATTTTTTTTCTGTGTTAGTTTTGGGCTGACTACATTACCTGTGCAGTTATGTCTAAAAGAAAAATGAATGTGGGATCAAAGCTTCTGTTTAATTATGGAGATTTTCTTTACTCAAATCATTCCCATGACAGGGAAACTCATTTTCAAATGGGGCACACAGTTCCTGCTTGCTGAACTGACCTCTACCCTCCCTCTAATCTAGAGGGAGTATATGTTCTGTTGATTGTAACAGGTAATAGGAAAATTAGAATGAGCCAAGATCTGATTACAATTGGATGTAATGAGAACATTACGTTTTCTGTAGATATGGACCAGAGTAGAAGACAAGCATTAGGAATGCTTTAGAGAATAATTCTCTCTGAGAGTCTTCAGTATTTTTTTTCTAATCCACTGTATCTGTATATGCCCATCTAACTCCTCTAAACTTACAGAATTTCTTCAGGCAGGTGAAAGTTCATGGATAACATGCCCCCAAATTCAGTGCAATAATAAGTTTATATTGGTTCTGTAAAGCCCTGAATATTATAGCAACATGTGCTATGTATGAACAATTTTTAAAATGGAATAAAAAGATAATTTTCAATTAATAGTCACAGGCTAGAACTGTTCCTTTTTTGAAACAAAAATTATCCCTGACTTTTCAATGCTGTTAATTAATTTATGTAATAAACACATATTGAAATCCTACTCTGTGTCAGTATTGTCTGTTCCTTGAAGGTTTCCACTTTATTATATTAGATACATTGGTAATACATTTTAAATGAAATGATAGACATTTCAAGTTTTATATCTATTCATTATCAAATATGGAAAAGTAAAACTTTTAAATATAGATGCTTTGGAAAATACTACAAATGGATGAAGTAATTAAAATTATGTAAATGGCACAATTTACATATTTTATTTATATTTCCAGATATCTTTTTTGTTATATAAAGAAATTCTTAATTTTTACAACAATGACTATGCTCAAGATTTGAATGGGAATAATCAAATCTTCTTTTAGGTGTTATTAGGCATTAAGAATATCATATAAAATTGTGTGTCTCCAAATTCTTGGATACTTTTTAACTTACAACATTGAGAGTCTTAATTTGCAAAACAACTTAATGAAAATGAATGTGAAGTCTAATAACATTTCTACTTCATATCTTTCTTATTTACTACATGAATAAATGTCTTCATAAATGTGGTAAACAATTAAATACTACATCAGTTACACACAGTGTCAACTCTGAACTCAAAGAGGTTAAGAATTAAGTGATACTCTAATCCTTCTTTGTTACCATTATGCAAGCTAGAATCTAGACATTATAATACTTTGTAAAAATCTTTCATATTTTAGGATACCCATTTCCCAAACAGATCAAAGATCTGATCAATGTAGAAACAACTGAACCATAAACTTACTATAAAATACGAAAAAATAATGTGTACATATGAAAGTGGAGAATAAATTATTTTCAGTGTTCATTATCACATATATACAGGATAATTTAAAACCAAATTGAGTTATTTCTAATTCTGAGCTCTTAAAATTTTTCCATCAAAATATACATGTTACTCAAGGGAGGACAATAAAAATAAACTGTGACACGAAAGCAAAGTGTTTCTCTTCTTATCCTCACAACTTGTATAATGTCACATTAATACATTTCCTTAAATTTCAAAGTGATGGAAACTTTAATTCCAAAACCATTTCTCTAAATTACCAACAGACTTATACTCTTGGTGCCTTTTTACATGATCACAAGCCAAGCAGGCATGTGATTCCCAAAATCGTGGGAGGTTGACAGTGAAATCCTTCCTCCAGTTAAAGTAACTAAGGTACAACTTGTTGTTTTTGTCAAGTTCCTTCAGATATTTTGCCAACTCACTGGGAGAGTTATAATCTTCCACATGAATGAACGAATCAGCTGGAATATAATTCTCATAGTTTTCCCTAGATGGTCCTAGGACAACAGGTACTGAGCCAGCCAAAAATGCATTGTAGAGCTTTTCTGTGATGTAATCTTTGTGAATTGAGTTTTCAAAAGAAAGATAAAATTTACAAGTAGATATGGTGGGGATCAGGTTTTTATCATTCACGTATTCTCCAAAGGCTTGCCCATAGGTGTGGATTTCAACACTCTTGCTGAGTTCGTTATAATACTTGACCCTGGCATGCTCGGGGTTCCAGTTACTCACGACCCAGCACACCAGCTTCTCTTTACTTGGCACTTCAAACACAAATGGTTTTGTGCTCACCGTCAAGAAGCCATAAGGCACTTGGATATCTGAATCACGGCGATAAGTTAGAGTCAGGTTGAACAAGTGCTCAATGCCACTCTTTTGAGGGGTATGAGTGGGTGACTCTAAGTTCATCCAAATCCATTTCTGAAAGGGTGGCCTAGCCTGCTGAGGTAAATTAGCCAGATCCCAGCTAATGTCTCTGTGGTGTATCAGGACCGCATGGGATTTGTTGTACAGTGAGCGGTCTGTAGTGAGATGGCACCCTTGGATGTTGAACATGGCTTGGCAGGATGTAAGGTCAAAAGTCTGCCCAAACGGCCACACCCAAACCAGAATAGTGGTTTCATTAAAATAATCAGTTTTTGTGGAGAAGAAATTTTTCATTTTCAACACAGAACTGGCAGACTCCATTGGACTGAACACCCAGCTGTTGGTGGGCTTGATGTAAATAAGTAGACATGCCATGAAGCAGGCCAGGATAATGCAGACGATTAGAAATGGACGAAGAATGCCTTTGGATGTTGATGTCATAATTTTTTCTGCAGAAAAGAGAAAGACATGGGAAGGTAAAGGCAGGAACAGAAGAGGAAACTATAAATACAATTTAAGAGAAAGAGTAAGAGTAATGTAATCATGAAATCAACTGTAATTTCTTTCACTGTTAACAACCACTGTGAGAAACAAGTTTCATTTCGGCACAAAACTGCTTTAAATGGAAGCTTCCCAGAAACTCTGGTCTGGATAAATAAATTAGAATTCACTCTCACACATATCTTGAAGTCAGATTAACTACTGCTTCAGAGACCTCTACACCTATTCTGGTTTTGTTTGTAAAAACTCTAAGAAAATAGACCACCATTATTAAAACCGTGACTGAGTGCATCAGTAAGTGTAACTCCACACAATTTATAAACACTTCCTAGTTGACACATTTGCATGTTCACAACTATGCTGAAAAACTTCTTTTTAAGGAAGAGAAATAGCATGAAGTTGTGTGGGAAGGGAGGGGGATATAAAAGTTGTTGGAAGATTGAAAAGACTGTGGTAAAATATTTTGCATGAAATTCTCATAGGAAGCATAAAAAGTAAAAAAAAAAAAGAAAGTAACATTCTTTTTTTTCCAGGAAAGTAACATTCTTTTGCCACTAGAGTCAAGCTAAGAGAATATTAAAGTTTGTGACAGAAATGTAATCCTTGATATTTTCCTTTTGTATATAAGTGCATTAATAAATCTACTGTTTTTTTTCTTTATACATTTCACATTTATCTGACAATTTTGTTTCAATATCTTAGTAGTTAGCAGTATTTAATAATCAAGCCCACTGTTGTTGTTAGAACAAACTCTCATTTGTCAGACATTAGAGCTCCAAGCTTATCATTTGGAATTAAATAATATCATAAATAAGATTTTTAAAATAAAGACAGAATTCATGGAGAAAAACAGTAATTCATTGAATTTTAATTGCTTGTGACTAAAACAGTGAGCGATTTGGCTTTTTGTATGTGTCCTTAGAGTTTTCTTTTACATTTGTGTCTCTGTAGGAATACGGACATATGAATGTAACATACATTTACAAGATTATTATTATTATTATTTCTTAGTAGAATCCTTGCTGGTTCTTTGAAATTAATATTGATTTTCCTGAAGTGACATCACCTATCAATCTTGAAATCTTGATCAAATATAGGGTATTATATAAAGATAGTCTTACCTAAATTAGGTGAACATTTGAAAAAAAATCACACACACACACATTTTCTTCACAACCTTTTAAAGAATATGATTTTGTGTAAACTATGAAGTTTGATATAAACGTTGTGAACATTGAATTCTAGAGAATTCCCTGCACAGAATTAGTGGAAAAAATTATAATTTTCTCTCAATGATAGATTCAGTCTCAAAGTCAGTAATCAAAGAAATTGAATGAAAAGCTCATATATAATATATCTAAGACATATTAGTTCGAATGTAGACTACAGAGAGAATTGGGAAGGAATTAAAAAGGAAATCTCAATATTTATGATAAAGTGATATTGCAGAGGCTATGTTCCCAAATTTATAGTTATTGAAAAGAAAACAGTACTTAGAAGAAAGTTACAGGTTTGACAGTTTCCAGGGAATTGATTATTTGAACAACCCAAGAATTCCAACAAAGAATAATGGAACAAAGCTTAAGAAAAACAAAATAAAACAATAATAACAAAAAGAAAATAAATATATGAACTCACTAACATTAGGAGTTTAAATTTGAGGTGACTAGTATAACACCACAGTATCTGAAATATCAGTAGAAAGGCTAAGATAGAAACGAAGAAATCTAGGTTAAATAGCAAAAGGGTAAAGAATGACTGACTTAATTTAGATTAAAATTAGGAATGGTTACTGAGTTAATATATACTAATATATTTAAAGAACTTGATAAAATAAATGACTGTGATTTGAGCCAGTTGAGAAGAACAAATTTGGCATAAGAAAACAAATTTTATTGAAAATGGAATTTGTTAAAGAAGGGAATTTACAAATAACAGACAGCAATTAATTGACCTAGACAGCATTAAAGGACTGAGACCAGTAATTCCTTAGATAGGGATTGTTACCATATTTTTAAAAAGGAAATCTCTTTAGGAAACATAAACTTAAGGATAAGTGATTTAATCCTCATAAGTATCCAATTACAATCTTGTTAACATAATATATCAGAGAAGATATTTTAAATGGTCAATTTCAGTTAAAAATACAGATTAAAAATTACAAAATTTAGCAAAAGAGAGGTTGGTAAATGTAACAGAATTCCACTACAGAATAGATTTATGGAAGTCCACTTACATTGGCTCTTGGACTCATGGAGTCAACACACATTTAACTGTTTGAAGAAATCTTCGTGACAGTCATGCCAAGATACACTGACTTGTTCTCCTACGATGAGCTTGCTGCTCCCTCTATATGATCAGGTTACAGTGACAACCGCCACCATTCAGTAACTGCCTATTCATCCGGGACTGCTGCAGCTTGGCATGGGCCATTTCTGCCAGTCCTCATAGAACTGCTGTAGAGAAGGCCACTGTTTGTCCCCTCTTTACAGGAGAGTAAGTGGGGGCAGAGAAACACATTACAAGTCAGTCACTAGCTTAACCCCTGAGTTGCTTTTTATAATCCAAACCAAGCAAAGTAATACATCAATAATCTGTTCTTATTCAACCTTGGGTTTCGTTTTCTATGCCTTTTAACTTACAGCTACTTGTTAACAGGTTAAATGTGGATCTGTTTGTCTTATCAAACAGTGCCCTACACTTACACTGTGCTTATTACTGCAGAGACTACTCTAAGAGCCAACACTCTTACACATATCAGCAATCTATTACCGCCTATTACCATTTTACTGAGAAATAAACTGAGGCACAAAATAGCTAATAAGTAGCTTGCCTAAGGTTAGTCAGTCAAGAATGTGCAGAGTCCATTTTCCAATGCAGGTTGCTGGCTGCTGGCTGTAGGGTACAAACAACTTGATAACTTGGTTTGATGATCTAAAAGTTTTCTCACTGCAAGCAGAATTTGCAACCCTTTTAGTGATACCAGAGTCAGCCCCTTGATAGGCACTGCTTTCTTCACAGCTGTACCATTAGCACCTGGGCAGGGTAGGTGTTTAATAAATGCTCTCTGTGTTATGTGAATGAATGAGTGAACTGTGTAGCTTCACAAAAGGGTAAGGTGCCATGTCAGAAGTTGCAAATGCAACTGAGTGGAAAGGATCTGGGCGAAATTTGTTTTGGATTTTTCTCCTGTTTCATTATTATTATGCATGCAGTTGATTTTTTCCCCTCATCTGCCTTTTTTCAGTTCAATGCATACAATTTGGCCACTAGGAAGAAAATAACAATGCAGTTGTTTTATCTTCTTTGACTTCTCTGTTTCCTGGGCTTTTTGTATTGCTTGTTCATCTCTTTAAACCCTCTATCTCTAATTTTTCACTGCTGTCAGAGTCAATTACCAAACAATGGGGTAGTGTCTAGTAGCAGTCTCTCCCATGCACAGATGTTGCCAAAAAGTTTGCTTCCTAGAGCCAAGTCGATCTTCCTTTGACAGGAAGTTTCACTTACTCCTCATAACGGACATTCAGGTGAAAATCCTGCTTTGATCTGTCAATCAAGCGAACCCACTTTTTTTAAAAGCCTTTAAGCAGAGTTTCTATATAGCTCTCTCCTGCAACAGCAATGAAAGTGTAGAATATGGAAAAGTGTAGCTTAATGGAGTGTGAGAGATGAGAAAGGCTCGTGATTAAAGAAAAAACCAGAATCTTTGGTAAAAATAAAGCTTGCTAAGATTTGGTGTAGGAAAATATTGTACATTGAGAACCTAATCTGATTTTTCAATACTTTTATAATGCATAATTTTATAAAAACGGAAGGAGCTGGGTGGTGGTAGCTCACAACATTAATCCCAGGATTTGGGAGGCAGAGGCAGGTGGATTTTTGTTGAGTGTGAAGCTACCCTGGTTTCCAAAGCTACACAGAGAAACCCTGTCTTGAAAGAGGAAAAAACAGGAAGGAAACTTAAAATACGAAACATTGGGATTTGCAAATGATAGTGATATGTGGATATTGAGAGGATAACTGAGAAAGAAAGGGAGATGGGAGCTTCTTCAGACCCTGGTGGTTCTACAGAAAGCTTCTATGTGTGAGTTGTTTGCTTGTTTTAGCAAATATTCATCCTTATTTTAAAATGGAAAGGACATGGACTCAAATATATAACAGAATTCAACAATTGCCTAAAACCGTTATGATAAAATCAACGTTTCAGCTTGTAGCTTACCACTTGGGCTTTTTCCCAGGTGATGGCATCTGCATTTTATTTATTTATTTATTATTTTTTTGGTTTTACGAGACAGGGTTTTCTATATTGTTTTGGAGGCTGTCGGTCCAGCCTGGCCTCGAACTCACAGAGATCTGCCTTCCTCTGCCACTCGAGTGCTGGGATTAAAGGCATGCGCCACCACCGCCCGGCGGCGTCTGCATTTTATTATCTTGCCTGCATTACACATAGTGATATCATGTTGGAAGAGATCATTACTATATATATCAGTAGGAGGTTATTCAGTCAACATATTTTATCATCACTGTGAAGTCATAGTTACTTTTATAGTGTGTGTGTGTGTGTGTGTGTGTGTGTGTGTGTGTGAGAGAGAGAGAGAGAGAGAGAGAGAGAGAGACAGAGAGAGAGAGACAGAGAGAGAGAGAGAGACCTTTTTATCCTTGGTTAAAAGAAAAAAGTTGATCAATGAGTACCAGGAGTAAACTACTGGTGGGGGGATGATAGTGGTTTGAGTAGTTATGGCCCGTAAAGACTCATTTGTTTGAATACTTGTTTCAGTACTTGGTCCATAGGAAGTGGCATTACAGGAGGTGTGGCCTTGTTGAAGTAGGTGTGGTCTTGTTGGAAGAAGCTTGTTACTGTGGAGGTGGGCTCTGAGTTATTTGTTATAAGCTTAAGTCTTGCCAGTGTGACCAGACTCCTACTGCCGCCTGTGGATCAATATTTAGAACTCTTATCTCCTTCTCCAGCACCATGTCTGCCTGCACACTGCCATATTCCACCATGATGATAATGTACTACACCCCTGAAACTGTAAGCCTCTCCCATTTAAATGTTTTCCTTTATAAGAGTTACCTTTGGCATGGTTTCTCTCACAGCAATAGAAACCCTAGTTAAAACAGGGGCTACATTAGAAATAGTTTAAACAATGGTTGTCATCAGATGATTCTTTAAATTATTCTTTCTGAAATAAATCGTGTGATGTGTGAAAATTACATATCAGTTTTTATGCTATTATTCTATGGTGACAAATCAGGAGTTAAGTTCTTAGTCAAAACTCACACAATAATAAATCTTTTGTAACTTTTCTGTAGATTATTGACAATTTTAGTTAACTATACATACACACAAAATTCTTCTGTAAGTTCAAAGTATAACTAATGAATTATGACTAATAATATCTAGATAAATTATATTCCTAATAAATATAAAATAATACAAATAAGTTCCTAATATATGAAATTTCTGAATATAATTAGGGTCATTTTATAGTTTATGTAAACTTCTTTAAGGAACAACATTCTAAATATTTGTTGACTTTATCCATGCGGATATAACCCTTGTCGCCCCCACCCTCTGTGGTAAAATGCATTGAGCAATCCAGGCTCTCATGCCTTGTGTATGCTATAGAAGTTCTCACTTCCTGGTTTTCTATTGGACGATTGCTTCTGCTGGGCAAACTTGTAGTGACTACAGAAAAAAAAACTCCTCTTTTTACAAGCAGAGTTGAATGGGGAGTCAGATTGTGCATGAAGACATCTGGGTCTGAGGATGACAATAGGGCCTTCAAAGGTCTGGATTAATGGAGCTACTCTGGGCTCACTTTCTTTGTTATTCTTCAGTCCTAAGAGTTATAGTATCACAATCCAACACTATCGCTTGTGTTATATTAATTATAATTTTTAATTGCTTGAAATTGACAAACCAGAATAAACAATGAACAGAATAACCTCCATTTCAAACAATCAGAAAAATCAATTTATATAAACTAACCTGTAAACCAATTTACTTCTTTTTCCCTCAAGATACAAAGTATATATTTGGAACCTTCCAGAAAACATACAAAAATATCTTGATTAAAAATTTGAAAAGTATAAAATATATACATTGTTAATATTGGAATAAGTCACATCACTTTGTATAAATACATGTATTGACCCTAGGTAGAACTTAGGAATTTGGCAGTGCTACCAAGAGTGAAACTATTATGTGTATGATGAACTCAGAGACCAACTCTCTTCCAATATAAATATGATCTATTAATAGCATCATATAACTTTGGGGTTACCCAAAGTCCAAATAATACCAGTATTCAGGATGTTTTTGCTTGTTTGGTTTTTCTTATTTTGCTTATTTCACAACTTATTTTTTGCATTAAAGCACTTAGACATTTTCAAATGAATACCCTTATTTTATTATATCCCAAGTTATACTCTCCCTTATATTACATAGCTGTAGTATACAGCTGTAGTATTACTTCCCTTGCAAGGTCCTTTGGAATTTAGGGTGTCTTGAGCCTTCCTCATGGACTTACTGACTTTAGTTCCCTCAGTTCTCTATATTTGCCTGGAAGCAGCATACCTCCTTTCTTCAAAGAGATGCTATATATTTTCTGGCAAGAAGACACTGGTTACTTTCTGGAATGCTCTCAGATTTGTGTCTCTGAACCTTTGACAAAGACCCTTAAATATAATCTCTAGTGTTTCCTTGAGAAAACCTTTGTCATGTTTCCTTGGACTCTGGAGAACTTTCCATTAAACTACTCCAGAAAGGACAGGTCACTCAGCTTCCTCCAGTGTCACCAGTGTTTTCCAGAGTCTTCTTCAGAGTGGTTTCTATAGGAGTTTTGTCCTTCTCAGCCTAATGAATGGCTTTCTTTTACCCTGTCTCCTTTCCTTTTTGTCTTCAGATATTTGTTGCTAATAGTAATGTGCTACCAGAAACCATTTTTTTTTCTGCACTGTCAACTCCTTTATTTGGGGTGCTAACAATATTCATTCCCTTTGAATTTCTCTTTCAATTAAGGTATTAGCCTCTTTTCTTTTGCTCTCTCTCCTCTATCACTAGTTTTTTTTATTAATTTTAAATAGTTTGCTTCACATGTCAATCCCAGTTCCCTCTCCCTCCACTCCTCCTGCACCCCCACCATCCCCCCAGCCTCCCACCCTATCATCACTTCCTTCCACATAGGGGATATCTAGAGTCTATCATTTCACTCAGGGTAGGGTCCAGGCACTCCCCTAAGAGTCCAGGCTGAGAGAGCATCCCTCTTTGTGTTTGGACATACAAAGACTGTTTGTATGCCAGGATGAACACTGATCCACTGCCCAGGGCCCCATAGGTTGCCCAGGCCTCCTCACTCACTCTCACACTCAGGGGGTGTGGATCATTCCCATGCTGGCCTCCCAGTTGTCGGCCTGGGGTCTAAGAGCTCCCCATTGTTCAGATCAGCTGTCTCTGTTGGTTTTGCTCATTGCTCCTCTCTCTCTGTCACTGGGTTCCATGTGCTCAGTTCAGTGTTTAACTGTGGGTGTTTGCCTCTGCTTCCATAAGTCACTGGATGAAGGCTCCAGGATGGTTATAGACATCAAGTTCATTATCAGGAATGGGCATTCATGGTGGTCTCTCCACTATTGCTTATCTTGCCAGTTGGTGTCATCCCTTTAGATCACTAGAGGTCTCACTGGTGCCCTATCTGTCTTCTAACCTATGATTCCCTCTTCCCCCTATTCTACTCCCTACTCAACCTTCTTGTTCCCCCGTGATCTACTCTCTCTTCCTCTTCTCCAGCTCTCTTCATCCCAGCTCCCACTCCCCCAACTCCTCGCCGTGTTCCCCATCTGTTCAGAAGATCTTGCTTCACTCCTCTTCTCTGGGGTACCATGTATATCTCTCTTAGTTTCTTTTCTTAGTTTCCCAGACTCTCTGTCAGTGGAAGTGCAGACTGGCACTATCCTGATCCATTTCTAAAATCCATATATGACTGAGTATATACCATGTTTGTCTTTTTGTGACTGGGTTACCTCACTCAGGATGGTTTCTTCTAGTACCATCCATTTACCTGTGAATTTCAAGACCACTCTGTTTACTTAGTAAGAAGCTCTACTTACCAGCTTGAGCTACAGTCACAGCCATCAGATATGACACAGAATGTAAGTGTAGTCTGGCTCACACTCCCAAGAAGATGCTGTAGAGAAGACCAGAGGTTCCTTAATTAAAAAAAAAATTCTCCCTAGAATATGCTTTTCAGTGCCACTGGAGGCGAGTGGTTCTTCATAACTTCTCTGTCATTACCAACTTTCATTATAGTCATGTTTTAGATCAGATAATATAGTCATTAAACACAAGGAAATATTACACACGCGCGTGTGCACACATACCTCATTTTGCTTCGGGATATTCATATTCCTACAGATTTTGAAGATGAAACTCCATTTTATCCTAATGATATGACAGAACAACTAACTCAGTCAATTCTGTTTGGGTGTCCTGAATCCTTTATATCTATACCAGTCCCACACCAAATATTATCTTCTAGGTATTTATTGCATTATTTGATTATTCTTCATTCGTTTAAGTAAACACTTCTTATTTCTTGGCTGGAATACTGGCATTTCTTATAAGTTACCAATTTGGCATTGACTCTTTAAAATTTTATTTTAAATGATTTATAAAAACAAAACATGGTAATGGAATACTTACTGTGTAGTATTCAATAAATCATGCCATGTTTCAATCAGATCAAAATATTTATATATACAAACATTAACCATCTCTTCATGGTGAAAGCTTTCTAAATCTTTTCTTCCTGTTAATATCAACCAATAAGAGAAACACATACAGAAGGACATCCCCCATCAATGCACAGCTGTTGATTTCAAGCCTCTACCATACTTCTCTGCTAGTCAAGCTCTCTTCTGACAACACATTCCCTGCCACTGTCTTCATGCAACTTTAAATAGTAACTAATTTCAGGTTGACTGTACATATGTATGTAGCAAAATGAAAGAGGTCAAATAAAAGTTTCAGTTATTTATCAGTTTTCCACACAGTGCCATCAGACAATACTTAAAAGATTTACATGTCTGAAGTGTAATAATTACTTAGAGCAACAAAAATCCTTTCCTAAAAAAAAGAAATAAATCCTGTGGAATTTCTTCATTTTCACCTGGATTTTATCATAAAAGTTCATGTACTTTAAAAGACAATATCATGGTGGCTGGGTCCTCAGCAGGCTGGCTAAATGTAGTTTTCTTGTATGTTCCTCAGTTGTTGCATTGTTTATTGTTTGGCTGCCAGTAATTTGTGAGTTCATATCTTCAGCCTTACCCTTTCCCATATCCTCTGAATGTGTGGACCCTGAGTTTTAAATCCAACTGTCCCCTGAAGTCTAACCTTCTAGTGGGTAGGCTCATAGGTTTCTGTTGCTCTTGCAGAATCTGCCACCTAAGTCAAACATGACATTGATAAAGCAGCTTTGAGTTCACTGAAATGATTGCATTTCTCTCAGACTTTCCCCCCTAATTTCTCATCCTCTATCCACTGATAGAGACTTTGGCCCTGTTTATATTGGACAGTGAAACCACAGGAAATGAACTGCTTGACCTTCCAATTCTTCCTCACCCTGCCTCTGTCCCTCTTTTTGATACAGGTCCTTGCTATGTAGGACAAGCTGGCCAGAAATTTGTGATTCTTCTAATTCAGCTTCAAAATGCCAGGGTTGAAAGCATACATTACCATCCATGACTTGCTATAAATGATTACAAAGTACAGGTGGGAGCTAAACCATCTACTCCTTGATTCATCCTTGTGACTAAGAAAGTTCTGGATAACATGGAAGAGAATTTGTGACATGGTTTAATCTACCTGTAAACTCAGTAAAACATGGAGTTCCAGGCCAACAAACTAATAAAGTTTGTGGGAAGGATGCTTCTCATCTATGAAACACTTTGCAGAAGTTTTTGGTTTAGGTCTGCTTCCTGAAGAGAAAGCTGAAGTTCCAGAGATTAATGATGTATGGCTTCCTGGAGGGTGCCACATAGTCATTCACATACCCTCACCTAGAAGTCTGGATGAAAAAAATCACAGCGGGATTTTTGTTTTCCTGCAACAGAGATGGTACTTATTCTGGATATCTATTTTTTTTGCCCCTTTTGTCTCTTTAAGTGACTAGAGGCTAATTTCTGACTGAAATGAATCTGATATGATGCTACAGTTTTATACTACTATTCTCAACTGCCATTATGGTGATTATTTTCAATTTCTCCCTAATATAAATGTTTCCACAAATGCAATTTATGCAAAAATTTCCTAGTTGCATTGTTGAGTTTGTTAACAACATCTTAATTCTAGCTTGAGTTCTCTTTAATCTTTCATTTTACTGAATTCAGTTCTCTAATTCTGAAATGTCTGCCATTTCGTTTTTATATATAAAGTTTTATTTAAATTAGAAACAATCTTATTTTATATATCAGTTCCAGCTCCCTCTCCCTACTGATCTCCCATGCCCACTGTCTATTCATTTCCTTCAGCTCCATGTTTGTTTTTCCTTGGCCCTTGCTCAGGCATTCATTGCTATTCCCTTTAAGTTCACTGAGCTCTTTGTTTATGTCTTTTAAACTGTTATTTGACTATACTTAGGATTGTTATTTCAATTTTGTGTCCTGGAATTTGTCAAAGAAATTTCCATTGAAGAACATTTCTATAATCCTAGTAGGGTTTCTTTTTATTTTTTATTATTTAATTGATTTTTTTTACATCCCCAGTGAAGTTTGTCCTCCCTCCTCCCTCCCACATTTCCTCCTTCTTTTTTATCTTTTTTTAATTATAAATAGCTTGTTTTACATGTCAATCCCAGTTCCCTCTCTCTCCCCTCCTCCCGCACCCCCCATCCCCCCATCCTAGCACCCTATTGCCAATTCCTTCAGCATAGGGGATATCTAGAGTCTATCATTTCACTCAGGGTAGGGTCCAGGCACTTCCCTAAGAGTCCAGGCAGAGAGAGCAACCCTCTTTGTGTTATGGACACACATGGACACACGATGTCTGTTAGTATTCAAGGGATAAACCCTGATCCACTGCTCAGGACCCCATAGGTAGCCCAGGCCTCCTCACTGACTCTCACATTCAGGGGGTCTGGATCGGTCCCATGCTGGCCTCCCAGCTGTCCATCTAGGGTCGAAGAACTCTCCCCTGTTTGGATCAGCTGTCTCTGTGGATGTGAGGGCGATCTGGCTGCCACATCTGTCACCCCATTGATTGCCAGGGCTGATTAGGCTGATCTGGCTGGCTAGGCAGGTATCCCCTTCCTCCCTCACGGCTGGACGTGCATCCCTCCCGAAGCTGTGTGCTCGAAGAGGACGACCTTCCCCGAATAGAGGAGGACCGGTCTTCGGTAAAGGGTATAAGAGTAGCTGAGCTCCCCTGCTAGAAACTCCAAACAAGCTCTCAAGGTCCATTTCCTCCTTCTTGCCTCCTCTCATGCACTCCTGTTCTGTGTCTCTTCAGAAAAGAGCAGGTCCCCTATGGCTATCAATAAATCATGGCATATCACTTTGCACAAAGACTAAGAACCTCTCCTGGTATTAAGGCTGGACAAGTCAATTCAGTATGAGGGATACATTCCTTTTTATTGTGGTGGGGGGCACACTTGTGGTGATATCTTTCTTGCACAAATAAAGCCTGTCTTGGGGTCAGAGAATGAAACTTGCCATTATCTAACCATAAAAGTTTGGATGTCTGTACAGACAGACAGGAAGTGATTTAGGTCGGCAGAAACAGATTATAAGCAGGGAGAAACAGGAAATGACTCTCTTCTCTGCTGATATGCTTAGGAGGTAAGGTGTGCTATGGCTTGCTCCTTCTCTCTGATGTCTCAGCGTTTTCCTCTATATCTGACTCCAGCCTTTTATTATCTAGACCAGTTGGAACTCTGTTTACACACACTTTCATAATATCTGTGAACTGATTATGTCAGCTTCTTACTGTGCTTGTGTATCTGATGTGAGATTCTAAATTACCTGAGGAAAGGCTGTTGAGAAAGCAGAGAAGCTGGTGGGTAAGCTGTATGATTAGAGATCTTAAGGTCTGGGGTATGGTAGAAATGACAAATGTAGACTTCCAGTCTTTTCTTGAAGTGTGGACATAAAAACTTTGAACAACTTAGTGCCAATTATTAATTTAGGTATAGGAATTTTGACATACATGCTAATAGTGATATAGATATGCAATTTGCTATAGAAGCTCCCTTAGTTTTTTTCTGTTATTGCTAAGACACCCACATAGAGATTTATATGAAGTAATACAGACATCATAATGGTTTTAACAAATTGGAAGTACAACACAAATGCTAATATTGTTTTAGTGTCCATTTTATGTATTAGGCAGCATTTCAAAAACTTTTGTTGTTAGCCGGGCGGTGGTGGAGCACACCTTTAATCTCAGCACTCGGGAGGCAGAGGCAGGCGGATCTCTGTGAGTTTAAGGCCAGGCTCGACCGACAGCCTCCAAAACAATACAGAGAAACCCTGTCTCGTAAAGCCAAAAAAATTTTTTTTTGTTGCATAAGGACCACCTTTCCTTAAGAAAAATCTTGATTGGACCACATCTCCAATTTCTTTTTTTATTTTTTTTTTATTTTTTTATTTTTGGTTTTTACTAGACAGGGTTTCTCTGTATTGTTTTGAAGGCTGTCGGTCCAACCTGGCCTCGAACTCACAGAGATCCACCTGCCTCTGCCTCCCGAGTGCTGGGATTAAAGGCGTGCGCCACCACCGCCCGGCTCCACATCTCCAATTTCTAATATATTTTATTTATGTATTATCACTTGAGTGAGCTTTAACAACTTGTCTTTCTGACAATTGCTATAGCATCAATTTCTAAACTTTTATAACTTTTTATATTTGCCTGTATATAGTACTTCCTATAAACTAACAACAAAAACCAACATCAGTGATGTATTGTAATTTTGTTCTTATGTCACTTCTTTTAGATTCAAATTTATCTGTCATTCTAAAGATACCAGTTTTAGTCTTACTTTTTTTTTATCATACAGAGGACGAGTGCACTTCATGCATTCATACATTAAAAATCAAATTCCATCAATCCTGTATTTGTGGATTGGCTTTCAAAGAAGTAATTACGGTTAAATGAAGTCTTAATGATGGAGCTCTGATTCAAAAGAAATAG